GGTGATAAGGAGGAGATGGATGACGAGAACGGGGGGAGGATGAGCAGGAAGAGTGAGGAGGATGATGAGGATGAGGAGGAGGGAGAAGAGGAGGACGAGGAGAAATGAGAGGGGGGCGAGGGCCAGCAGCGGGGGCATGAGGGGTCCAGGAGCCCGGGCGACTCAATGCCCGAGCGCAGATCAGGCCCGCCCACCGCGACTTTCCTCCACCGCCCCCCTCCTCCTCCTCATCCTCCGTCTCAATACCTCTTCCTCAATCCTTCTCCGCCCCCCCCCCCTCCGACCAAAAGCCTTTTTCTCATTCGCCTCATATCCTCCATCCTTATCATCCTCATCATCTCTTCATTCTTCTCCTCCGTCCCATCCCTCCCCTCATGCGAGTGCTAATGGTTCAAAGCTCATGCGACCCCACTTGCGCGCCCACCCCCCCCCCCCCCCCCTCGGCCCGCCCCGCCCCCGCCCCTGCGAGGTGGTGGGGTTGGAGGGTGGGCGAGTGGAAGGGTGTGGGTTCAAATTGAAGTACACAGGCCCTGTCAACTCGACGCCGCGACCTGGCCGCATATGCTCAGGGCAACGCCCCGGCGCAGGTCATGTCCTCCTGGCTGGCCGAAGAAGAGCTCCAGGCACTGCTTCATCGCCGTGGACACGCCGCCGATCACGTCGGCGAGCAGGCAGCTGCGCATCGCGGTGATGGTGTTCCAGCAGAGCTCGTTGCTGAGGGCAGGCCAGCCAAGCTCAGCAAAGCTCCAATAGAACGCCTGCGTCTTATGACGGTTCTTACCGTCCAAGACGCTCCCTGGAACGATCTCGTCGCAGTAAATGTATATACTGAGCGACCCCTGGTGCTCCTCCACTAGACCGAGGAACCTCTCCCCGTGCGACCCCGATGCCGTGCATGCCGCCTTGATCCAGGCAAACGGGTACTGGAACCACGCCTTCACACTCGACGAACCCAGCGGCAGCTCGAGGAGCAGGGGTCCGAAGCTCGCAACCTCCATGACTCTGGCATCACGGTCTCTGGCCAGCGCCGACGCGCTGAATGCCTCGGGGAGGCCTTCGCGCTTGATGTATGCCATCAAGGCGGCTGTCGCTGCAGCAGTCGCGTGAGACGACCGACCATACTTGATGGTAGAACAGCGGGCCCTCTTCGGAGCAGGAGGCACCGCTTCTCAACGAAGACTACAAGCTTGAGCCAAAAAAAAAAGGCTACGGCCAACACGTTGCACTGTCAACTGTCTGGTTGTAGTTGTGATGCTGCGGTGTGTCGTGATGTTGTCGTGCACCTGCTTTTGTTGTGCGTTGGCTGTTGCGTGCGTCTGTATTGGCACTGGCCATGCCATTTACTATGCTCTGATATGTTCTGTCATGCTGCCGTCAGCTGCTATGCGTTGTTGCGGTGTTAACTTGGCGTTGTGTTGTGCTTTATGCACACCGCTGTCATACTGTTTGATGTGGCTGATCGGGTGCTTTGCTATGCGATACCAGCTGTTCGAATGCTGTGATGTCACTCGTTGTTGTGCTCTGGTATGCGAGTGATACGCGGCACGGCGCGACGAGGCCGCTTAGGGGCCACGCGGAGGCCCCGACGTTTATGGGTCAACCAGGCCATTCATAGAGGCCATAGGGGCACGGCGAGGCCACTTAGAGGCCCCAGCGTTTGTTGGTCTAAGACGGGGCTGGAGAGCCCTACGGTCGACGCCCAGCGGGGTAGAGGATGGCGGCTTGGTTTCGCAACCAGCCGTGAGGTATACAGAGCAAATTTGCTGCGTGCGCTAGCGGTCCTTCCCCCCTGGCACGCGCCCTCCTTCCCCATCCTGCGCGCCCTCGAGTGCGCGACCGAAAGCTGTCAGACCGCATATATATATACACACACACAAGTGGCACGTGTGTGCCCAGGCTCATACAACAAGCTGAAAGGGGCGTTTGAAGCAGGAGTGACACGCAACAGCGAAGTCGCACTCGAGCGCAAGTGCGGTTGCCACACCTTGCGACGCGTGCACCAGGGCCCCCCAGGAAGCCTCAGGAGGCCCGACTTGGATACCAGAAGAGGCTCCAGGAGGCCCCAGGATTGTGAGTGGTGTGTGTGTGTGTGTGAGGTGTGTGCTTTGTGTGGTGCGTGTTTGTTGTGTGTTGTCGGTGTTGTGTGTGTATGTTATGTTTGTCTAGCGTGTGATGTGCTGGGCGTGATCTGTGTCTCTGTGTGCGCATGTAGTTCAAGCCCCAGGAGGCCCCAGGAGGCCCCAGGCGGCCTCAGCAGGCCCAGGAGAACTCCAGGAGGCTCCGAGGCGGGGTCTGGGGCACCAGAAGGTCCAGGGAGCCCCAGGAGGCCCCAGGGGGTTCTAGGAGGCCTCCAGGAGGCTCCGGGGAGAGGTCTGGGGCTCGATTTTGGAAGGATGTCTCAGGCGAAACCGCCATTCTCTGAGAATCGGGGTCACAATTATTGAAATTACCATGTGTTTTTGAAGGCTTTATGCTAACATGTTGAAATTCCCATGTGTGTTTTGGACCCTGACGTCGCGATATGCGCGAGGGGTGCCACCGATTTTCAGAATTCCGAGGATGCCCCGAGCGAAACGGCCAGAAAAATCGCGGACGACGTGCGCATTAATCGCCTCTGAGCTCTACTCCCTCGGAGAGGTGCGCATGAGAATATATATATATAGATATATATATAATATATATATATAGAATATATAAATATATATCCCCCCCCCCCCCCCCCCACCCCCCCACCCCCCCCCCCCAGCCACCCACCCACGCACACACACACGCGCACACGCGCGCGCACACACGCGCACACACACACACACGCGCGCGCACACACACACGCACACGCACACACGCACGCACGCGCGCACACACGCACGCACACCCCACGGGGGCCCCATCTTAATAGAGAAAATTAAAAGACATAGCGAGATAAAGAGAGGGAGAGATGGAGAGAGAGAGAGAGAGAGAGAGAGAGAGAGAGAGAGAGAGAGAGAGAGAGAGAGAGAGATAGAGAGAGAGAGAGAGAGAGAGAGAGAGAGCGAGCACGAGAGTGAGAGAGAAGGCGAACGATGACGAAACTGATATACAAGATGAATGAGTGTCTACGCCACTCTACAGGTTGCTGTTGGACGCGGCAAATAACAATCATCTTTTTCATTCTGAAGCCGAAGATGCAGATTGCACTCTCCCCAGGTGCATGCATGACCGCACTGGCAGCCCTCTGCATGGACTGCCCGCGGCGCAACTCGCGCGAATCGACTGCCCCAGGGCCCCCGAGTAGCTCCCCGCGTGCTGCAGCGCAGCACCTATCACACGAGCTTCGAGATCATGTCCCCTGTGGCCTGCCACAAGTCTCGAACCCGCATCCAGTAGGCCCACTGGGCGGACCTCCCCCGATGGCGCAGCATGTCGGGCCCGACCGCGGCCGCTGCCCCTCCCCCTCCTTCTCCTCCTCCTCCGCCACCTGGTCGCCACCCCCATGCAATAACTAAAAAGGAGGCTCCCGCCTGATAGATCCCAACAATAACTGAAGAGGAGGCCCCCGCCTGAGAGATTCTCCAAACAACTCTCCGATGAGGAGACTCCCGCCAGAGAGGTTACTACGGCGAGGGCATTGGATAAGGAATCATTGGATAAGAAATCCAGGGTTTGGAAGCCGGCGGAGCTCCAATTGTGGATCGGCCGTGGATGTCGCCACTGCCCTCATCGGGTAAGGAATCCCCCGGGGTCGGATGCCTCCTGGGCACATTCCTTAACCAACATCCCCGACGTAATCGCAGTCTCTGAGGGGCAACTTGCCTGAAAGGTCCAACAGAAAAAAACAAACTGCTCCTGCTTCTCCTGCTCCTCCCTCTCGACTGAGCTTCGTCCTGGGACTCCTGACTCCTGACTCCTCCTCCCTCTCTCTCTCTCTCCTCATCCTCCTCCTCCTGCTGCTGCTCCCCCTCCATAATGATCGTAATCCTCCTCATCATCATCGTCAACATCATCATCGTCATCGTAATCAGCATAATCATCATCATGTTTGTAATCCTCATCACCATCACCATCGTCATCATCACCATCACCAACACCAGCATCAACATCATCATCATCAACACAATCAGCATCACCATAGTCATCAGCAACGTCAGCATCATCAGCAGTACCATCATCATGTTCATCTTCTCCGTCATCATCACCATAATGTTCGTCGTCCTCGCCTTCGCCATGGCCATGGCGGTCTTGCGTGAGAGGCCCCCAACACATGTGAGGAGGAAGAGGCCCCCGCCTGAGAGGTCCCCAACAAACGTCAGGACGAAGAGGCCCCCGCCTGAGAGGTCCCAAGACAACGCGAGGAGGAAGAGGCCCCCGCCTGAGAGGCCCCAAAAAAACGCGAAGAGGAAGATGCCCCCGCCTGAGAGGCCCCCAAAAAACCCTCTTGGGAGGAGGCCTAAAAAGCCCCCGCC